TTCTTTGATTCTGAATCTATTCACCTGGGTGGAATTGGGGCTGTTGTGGGGAAATTCTAAAACACACACACACACACACACACACACACACACACACACACACACACACACACACACACACGCACACACACACACACACACATACACACACACACACACACAAGCACAAGCACACATGCATGTGCCATTGTGTGTGTGTGTGTGTGTGTGTGTGTGTGTGTGTGTGTGTGTGTGTGTGTGTGTGTTGTGTGTGTGTGTGTGTGTGTGCGTGTGTGCGTGTTGTGTGTGTGTGTGTGTGTGTGTGTGTGTAGGGGCTGTGCATTGACTGTCCACATAAATGAAGTTGAATTGCTATCAATGAATGTACCTACAATCCTGCACTGTCTTCAGGGACATTTTTAATCAGTCATAAACTTGCACATGTAGGTAGGCAATCGACTGCCACATTGTTAATAGTACTTAATACTGGGTAGCTACTAGTAGCTAGTGATGCCTGCATGGCCCTTTAGGGGTTAAGGAACCGCAGAGCTGTATTGAGAAGTAGGGAACTCTGTGGAAGAGGCCCTCTCCAAATGCTAGCCTCTGATTAAGCTCGACTCTATTTGCAGGTCATGGATCTTCTCCACGACAGTGGACGTGAAAATGGTGGGTATCATCATTTCACCGCATGTACTGTGGGTGACTTCCATCTGTCTGGTGGGCTTTCTTCCTTAACACTCTGAAAGACTGTAGCGGGTCTTGCGCGACGCTCCCACGAAGACCCAAGTTGCACTGTTGGGAAAGTTGGCGGTTCGGAAGAGCGGGCCCGCGGGGAACTGAGCGAAACACCGCGGGCGGGTTTTTTTGTTTAAAAAAAAAAAAGAAAAAAAAAAGAACCGCTGTTTGCTGGTTCGGTTTTGAAGCTTGGTGGGTCTTGTTGTGTGTGTCAACTTCTGAGCAATCCCATCTCCTGTTTTTCTGCTCCTGCTTGTTGTTCTACAGGTTGGGATGAGTCAGATGTCTGCAGGTTCGAGAACGGACGTGGGTGCCTACCACAGACAAGCTGACGATACCACTGAGCAGAACTTGGGAAACCTTGCCGGGCAGTTCACGCTAAGCGATCACCGTCCGGTTGCGGAGATCGTGGAGCATCTGATCAGAAACAACTATGTGCCGTCTTGGTGCACAGCATGCTACAGGAAAGGGAGAACAGGCGAGGCGTTCATGAAGATCGCTAAAGCGGGGAACATACACAACTTCTGCCATCCGAACTCTCTGCTGACGTTACAAGAGTACTTGCAGGACTATGCGAGCGAGGATTTGAAGAAGATCGGCGAGGAGCTGATAGCCAAGGAGTCGAGTACAGGTCTGTCCGATTCGGCGCAACGAGTTTTGGATAGAAAAATGTCAAAGGTAAAAGAAGGAGAGCACGATGTTTACCTTTGAAGTTTGAACGTTGAAAGGTTTGGGTTTTGGTAGGATCTGATGATTTCCACTTGAGAGAGGTTTGGGTTTTGGTAGGATCTGATGATTTCCACTTGAGAGAGGTTTGGGTTTTGGTAGGATCTGATGATTTCCACTTGAGAGAGAGAGTTTTTTTTTTTTTTTTTTTTTTTTTTAATTTTAATCTCAGTTTTTTTTTACCGTAAAAGTTGTGACAGTTAAAACCACCAGTACGTGTCCGAGCGTCTTTTGTATGAAGAAGAGAATTTTCCCCCAAGCTTTGCAGAAACGCTAGCATGGCGTTTTTGTTTTCGTCTTGGCTGGTCCCCCCCCGGCCATATTTTTCGCTCTGGGTTGCCCTAGCATCCGACCTTTTCGGAATGAGCCGATTTCAATTCTCAAGTTGCCTGGGGCCCAAGGCCCTGGGCCCAGTACTGGTGTTTTTTTTTTGTTTTTTTTTTTTGTTTTTTTTAGAAAGGTTTCTTACTAATTCAGAAATTGTTAGATATGATATGATTTTGCACTTCTATCCTAGGGCCTGGGGCCTGGGGCCATGTAATGGTGGTTTAGAAAGTTTTTTTTTGTTTGTTTTTTGGGGCATCATTTGCACTTTTTTTTTTTTTTTTTTTTTTTTTTNTTTTTTTTTTTTTTTTTTTTTTTTTTTTAGTGATTTTGCACTTCTATCCTGGTACGTGTCCTAGTACTTGTAGGACTAGTTGAGCAAAGGATTTGAAGGGGGGGGGGTTGGAAAGATTTGAAGAAGCTTGGACGTGGACTTCTTGATAGCCACAAGGAGTTGGTATGCGTCTTTCTGATTTGACGAAATGCATTTCAGAAATTTGGATACGAAAAAAAAAAAAACGTCGAAGGTGAAAGAAGATGGAGAACAGGCTGTCTAAACCTTTTTCAAATCTGATTCCCCCCACTTCTACCTTAGCACTTGCAGGAAATTATGCGCGGCGGGAGGATTTGAAGAAGCCGTCTACTTTGACTTCATATCATATAGGTGCTGCATGGCTGCATGGCTGTCGTCAGCTCGTATCGTGAGACGTTGGGTTAAAAAAGTCATAAAACGAGCGCAACGCTCGATTTGTGTAGGCAAGACAATAATTGTGCTACGGTCGAGCGCTTCTGAGTCCTGACCAATGGCTGAAGAAATTGATAAGCAAGGAGTCGGGTATGGACGCGTCTTTTTCCAATTCGGTGAAACGAGTTTTCGATTAGGAAAATGTTGAACGCGGAAGATGGAGAGACGATGGCGGCACTTAGCTTTTTTATAGAATTTTTATATAATCTGATTCCCGGCTCGACCATGACAATTGGATGTCCCATGGAATGAACAGGAGAGGAGCATGGTGTTGCTGCTTCAACCACCAAAAAAAAAAAAAAAAAAAAGGTTGACATCATGTGAAGTTACAAACATGCTAGTTTTGTCAAATTTTCCACCCAACTTTTTTGAATCGATGTTAGGTCGTCCCAAGCCGTGATTTTGGCAATTGAAATTTGAAAGGTGGCTTTAATAGAGGGATTACCTCCAAGCAGTGATTTTGGCAATTGAAAGATGGCTTTAAAGTTTAAAGTTTGAAGTTTAAATTTTAAATAGAGTTATCACCCCAAGCAGTGATTTTGACAAAAAGGAGGCTTCAAAGCACCAGCACATGGGCATCAGGGCCGTGGGTCTGACACCTCAAATTCTGGAGGCGCGAAACGAAAACGGGGCCGCCGATCGAATTTATCGATGGCGGGCCCAGCGTTCGATGTTCCGGTCTCGTTTTCTTGTGCCGACAACGTTCAGACGGCAAGGCGAGGTCGTGTACTCGTGGTTTAAATAGAGGGATCATAGAGGGATCACCCAAAGCAGTGATTTTGGCAATTGAAAGGTGGCTTTCATAGACGGAATGGCAATGGATTCGGACAGGTTGCTGAGCGGGTACGGAAAGATATTGATCGCTCCGTAGCTCTTGCTGGATTTTGAAGAACCACTGGTAATTCCAACCTCAAAAAGTGTCAAGTATGGTGGTGGGAAGGACTATATAGTATATAGTTAGTATATAGTGGTGGGAAGGACTATATAGCATATAGTATAGTGGTGGGAACTTGGAAGGGCTATATAGTATAGAGTATATAGTATACGATATATAGTATATAGTATATATGCTGTTTTCTCTGGCAATTGTTCAAGTATATGGTGGCATCATCTCTGGCATGTGAAATGAGACGAGATCGTACTCGCGCGGCTGTCTGGGAGTGCACCCCCATGTCAAACAGTGAAGGGTGCCCAGACAAAATGTATTTTGTTGTTCAGGTTGGGGATTGCAAAGAATCAATTCAAAGTCAAAGTCAAAGTCAGCACAGAATAAGTCTTATAGAGTCAAATGTCATCCCTAGAGTCCTTAGAAAGGCTGTCGCCCTGTCTTGTTTTGTTTGTTTTGTTTTCTTTTCTTTTTTAAATAAAGGCTCCAAGAAGCCCTTAGGTCGGTAGGGCTGGGGAGCGGGGTCAAATTGGGGAACCCGGGGCCGGAGAGAGGGGTCAAATTGGGGAAACGGGGCCTCCAGAGGTCAAGCCATGGCCCCTTGGAAAGGCAAAAGTCAGGCCCTGCCGGGGCGGGTACAGCAGTCAAAGGGGGTTCAAGAAGTCTCCAGAGTCGATGGCGGACACAGATCACAGATATCCAAACACTGACAATCGGTTATGGGAAGCATCCGGCGTCACTGGGTAAAGGGGCAAGATTGGTCTGGATCGCGCAAGATCAGAGAATCGCAGCTATGTTCAAGGAGGCAACAGAAGGCAGCGCCAGCGGAGATAACATATGTTAGTGCATGACCAGCCTGCGTCCGCTCGTTCGTTTCTTCGTTCGGTCTTGGGCTGCTGGAGGTTGGGAGTGAGGTGAGGTCTGACGGAGAGATCTATCCTCTCGTGTGTGTGTGTGTGTGTGTGTGTGTATGTGTGTATGTGAGATAAAGAGAGATGTGTGTATGTGTGTGTGTGTGTGTGTGTGTGTGTGTGTGTGTGTGTGAGAGAGAGAGAGAGAGAGAGGTGTTTGTAGTGTGTGTAGTGTGTGTTAGAGAGAGAGAGAGAGAGAGAGAGAGAGAGAGCTACATGTTGATGTTGCTGTGAGTGGAGGATAGTGTTTAGGTTTTGAAGGCCGGTATTGCTGTGACTGGTGTTATTCTTCAATCCACCCTTTTTCTTAACTTTTTATTACTTTTTAATAAATTTAATAAAATCCGTGATGCACAGGGAAGTTCTACCTACAATTCTTTTTCTTTTGACAAGTGTCATTTGCGAGGTCTCTTTTTCAAGGATGGTTAGCGAACTCTTGGAATTGAGACCTTGCCTAACTAATGGCTCCTTTCTATGTTTTGGGAGCGGCACCTGCTCGAAACTGGGCCCACTGTCCCATCGAAATATATTTTAGGCCTTCTTTTCTAAGTTTTCAGTCAATATGAATGTGCAGTGGTGGGGACCACTTCATTATCCTCTCCATGCTGCACCCCCTCTACTCTATTGCTGCTTATATTGGCTTGTTATGGACATGTGATGTCCCCTTCCCCCTCTTCGCCCCCCCCCTCAACCCAAAAAAAAAGAAGTCTCCTTCGGAGTATTCCCCTTTCCCAAATGCACCTTTAGCTTTTTAGAACTGAAGCCTGTATCTCAGGTCCTTTATCTTTCTTCTCTTTTGTTTGGCACTCCCTTGCTCTTTGTTGATCTTTCAGTCCTTCTTTTTTTTTTCTTTTTTCCCCTGTTTATTATCATGATTATACCACCACATCTTGAGAAGGGGGCCTTCAGGAAGTGAGGAGATATCTGTGTGGCCAATAGGTGGGGGAAGGGGAGCGGGAGTAATGAATCTAATGATGCGTTTTGTCTGTGCGGGAGTAGGTGAGTGGCAGTCACACCTTTTTTTTTTTACTTGTAAGCAGGGTAGCCGGCGTTCGGG